TTAAATAGACGAGAAAACAGACGCCCTCCGAGGTCAAGAGGCGGCCGCGCAGTGACACAGCAGGTCAATGGCAAGGCTGGGGCCTGTACCCCGGGGCTCACGAGGCTTCTCTGCCGGGCAGGACGCCTGACCCCAGAGACAGCTGCCTTCTGCGACTGCAATCATCCTAGGAGGTTAATCTATTGATTGCAGACTCTATTGTCTAATCAGCCCACACACTGCCTGAGTTTATCACCAAGCAAATTCCCATTTGTTTTTAACAGGAAAATCACACCATCCTGCAATGCCTTGAACCAAACTCTGCAGTCTCAACAAACAGCTTGCCTTTTAAATCCATAAGCTAAACACAAATCTCTTTGCATTCTTGCAGCCAAGCCGTTGCGGCTCTTTTTCTGAGTCTGAACTTCTTCGTGATAAAGACAGCCGAGCGGGGGAAATTAAAGAAACAACTACGACGAAATGGCTCCAGGGTAAACTATTAAGCGCCAAAGGCAACGGGCAAGAGACTGCGTGTGGAATGATTCCATTTGCATAAATGGAAAACTAGGAAATTTATTTACAGGTATTATGTGTATTTATATTTATACATGCAAAAACGTCTCTAAGGATATGCGTGAAACATTACAGTCCTATCTGGAGAGCAGACTGGGGGGTCAGGAGTGGGAGGGGGGCAGCCACTGCCGGTGCCCCCAGCCCTCAGGCCCCGTCAACATAACCACTGCCCTCATGACTTGGCTTGCGTCGTTGGGGCCACAGAGCCTTCCCAGGGCATGCTCTGGGTGGGTGGAAATGCTCGAGAATTAACACCCCCTGAGAGCCACCCTCAATTAATGACTGGTGGGAATTAATGGAGAAATACACCAAGTCCTGTACCCCCTGAGTGGGACGATTCTGAGATCATCCGTGTGTGCTCTGCACGTATCACCAGAGTTCCCTGCGTCCCTGGGCTCTAGGTGCTCACAGTGCGGCCCTGTTCTTTTCTGGCTCTCTTCCTTTCAGGTCTCATCTTTCCCCCTCCCTGACCCTTCCCAGTAAATTCCACACCCTGTCTCAAGGCTGGTTTCTGAAGGAACAACGCTATCGAATACCAACGTCTTCAATGAAATGGTGGAAATGTTCAATGTCCGCACTTTCCAGGACGGTGGCTACTAGCCACGTGTGACGCTTAAATGGAAATTACTTTAGAATGCAGTTCTTTAGTCACCCTGGCCACACTTCGTATGCTCCGCAGCCACATGGATGGCACAGAACAGATCATTGCCGTCATCCGACAAAGTCGTATCGGACAGTACTGGTTTGCGGTCGGCATTGGTGGAAATGAGTGTAGATTTGTACCAGGTGCAGCGAGAAGCAAGCTGAGGTTTTGAAAGGGGGAAAGGATATGATCTCACCTCTCCGAGTCCCTCTGCCGTCTGTGTGCGAAGCCTGGTTCTGACTCAAGTACTCTCTGACATCTGTTACCAAATTTCTTTTTAAGTTTTTTAAAAAAGTTTATTTGAGAGAGAGAGAGAGCGAGCGAGCATGGGTGCAAGAGAGAGGTGGGGAGGGTCAGAGAGGGAGAGACAGAATCCCAAGCAGGGTCCACACTGTCAGTGCAGAGTCCAATGTGGGGCTTGATCTCACAAACCTTGAGATCATGACCTGAGCTGAAATCAAGAGTCAGACACTTAACTGACTGAGCCACCCAGGTGCCCCAGGTGTGGCCAAATCTTAAGCTTTTCCGTTCTCAGCTGAGAAGGAGGCTGCTAGCCCAGGAGACCAAAGCACCCCTCCCTCCAGGGGGACACAGCCCCTGGCCAGCGCACTCTGGGCCCCTACAGTGCCACAGAATAGGGCCCACCTCACAGGTCTGCACAAGTCTGGTGGAAGGGCATGGCTTTTGAACTTTAAAAGCCTGGAAGAGGTTCTTCTTTGCTCTACTTTCCCATCTCAACCCTTCCCTCCGTAATGAGCACAGACAGAAGGGCAGGGCTCCAATTTGTGAGTTTGTGGGAAGACCAAAGGAGTAAGGAAATACCAGGAAAAAACATTAAAAAAAAATTTTTTTTAATGTTTATTTGTGAGA